GTGATATCGAATGCCGGATTGCCGCCGTCAAGTTGCGGAAAAAGGAGTACCAAAAGAAGTACGGCGAAATTGCGGAAGAATTGCGATGCACATACCTATAAAAGACGGCCTGTCAATAGCATGGACCCGCCGCCGTCGCGTTGTGCGCGATTTCAATCGGTATCTCCTCTCCTTCTTTTCTTCCTTTACCAAAGCGATACGCAGTGCATACAAGGCAGCACGGCCATACGTATGCATGTCGCAGTGTGTTTGCACCTGCGCAAGCACAATGGCGGATTTCTGTATGGAAGCTAACGAGACAAGTAAGCAAAGATTGAGATCGATAATTTCGGTGAATTCAACTTCCGATGCGATCGATACACAAAAGAGAACTTTATCCTAATTTCTACGCTTCCATTGTCAAAGATAAACATAGTTGTTATTTTTCCTTGTTTAAATAATTTTGAAATTTAAATAAGATAAACAAATAAATTTAATAATAGAAATATTGTAAAAACGTTTCCTCTTTCACGGAGAGTCTTCTTTTCATCACGTGCAACAAATCCAATCTTTACTCTCAAAAATTGAAATTAATATAATCTTGTTGAATTCAAATTTCAAATAGTACCACAGCCTAGATATTTCTGTGTTTTGAAAAATAGATGCAATATATTTTTAATTAAATTTTCTGAGTTATTCATTGTTAAAATGACTCATCCTCCTTCTTTGCTATAACTGATTCAATAATAAGTTCAAGATTCCGAGGAGTAAATAATCCGCCTCTGCGCGAACAAAAATATCCCTCAAGATGTGTATCCATGATCACGATATAAAACTCGTCCGAGAAATTTTCCGTCGCGGCTCATTCCGCCCGCGTCTTATTTCGTGGTCGAAAGGATTTTGTGAGAATCGAAAACTCGGCCCCGGCCAATGCAGTTGACAAGCACAAAAGAGGAGAAGTAAGACTCCGATATTGCCTCTGAGCTACCATGACACGACAAAAAATGCGAAAATACTTTACGAATTCACGTGAAGAAAAATTTACCGTTATATAATGCTGACTGACAATTTGTTAAGTTAAAATCAATTAATAGATATTTTGTGAAATCACAAAATTCTGATTTTTAAGATTAAATATAATCTTTTAAGAAAAATACCATTGCATAGAAATATTACAATATTTAAATTAGAGACTAAAGTGTTAAACATCATTATAATCTTATCAAAAATGTATTAAAATTATTAAAATCTTTTAATGCATGACTGACAATGCATGTATATTCTTAATTGCTTTTATATATTAGTCACATTTTGCGTTTGTATATTTAGAAATATCTACTTTAAAAATATATATAAACAACTTAATAAATATTGATTTTTTTAATTAACAATTATTTACTTTTTAATTAATAGTGATTTCCACAATTAATTAAAGCTTATTTCTGTACAATTTCTTCTTATTTAAAAAAGTAATACTATGCATTATAAAGAAAAGTACTTTTGAGTAACCATGAAGCAAGTTCTAAATGTGTGTGCGCGCGCGCGCGTGTGTGTGTGTGTGTGTGACATACAACAAACAGCATTTATCATTCTCAAGAATTCAAGAAAAGAAATTTTATGTATGCGTGCAAATTGCATGGCAATCTTTCAAAATAATAAGTTCCACAAATATCCTTATATCAAATAAAACCTTATACTTAAAGTTCTTAATTTGCTCGCGACAGTATTAAAAAATATTTAGTATTATTAAAATTTCCACAAAATAAAGATGCGGTCACATTTCTAAATTTACAAAGAACTTATTCTACTTTTATGAAATTTTCTTTGGAAAACCTCTTGCCCTTTACAATGCTATACCCGCAACAAAAGATAGGGGAAAATATCGTCTCGCTTCTTATCGTGTACACTCAAAAATATGGTTGCATTTATCTGTATGCAACTATTATATGAGCAAGTATATCTTACATTTTTGCACATTAAGATAATAAAAGTTTATGTGCAAGTAAAATGTAATATTTAAAAAATCATGCACAAAGTTATTGCGAAAAATTATGCTTTAAGAGCCTAGTAATGGCATCTTGAATAAAGATCAATAAAAATTATTATAAACGTTAAAAGAAAGATGCATTTCGACAAAGATCCCCTATAGATGAACTTGTCCATGAAAGTAAGTTTTCGTGTACCAATAACTGAGTCGGATGAAATTACGAGCTAACTGGGCAATCTCCCGAGACGCCGAAACGATAGAAGAATTTGTTGCAAATATGATAACCTTTTCATTTTATTTAGTATATTATGCGGGATCTTGAAAAATAATCGAATAAATCGAAAAAAATATCCCTGTAATATCCATAAATAATATACTTCCGACTTTTTATTGTCCTTATTCTTATCGAGAAAATTATTTTGTAATATAATATAATGTTCTTCTTTTACATGACATATATTTTGTTTTTGGCAATAAAAGCGTAACTTTGATTTAAACTATGTAAACATTTTGTAATATTTAAGATGAAGTTTGGAATACTCTTTATACGTAACAGCAATAAGAATTATGATAAAAATTATATTATTAAGTGTTTATTCTCTTATCACTTCTTGTAGTAATATTATAATAAGAACACGCAATAATAATAATGTATTGTGTGCCAATAAAAAAGCTGTTTATTAAACTCTTAAGGCATAATTTTCAGTTCTATAGTTGCTGCATATGCGATTCGCAAACATGCTAAGAAATTGGTTGACTTACCCATACAGCTATATGTCGACACTGCAAACATGAAGATCGTACGATGATGATGGAATCAATAGAAGTACCCGATACATAGATTAAAACACCATATGTATATCAACCAGAAAACGGTATGATAGATCGAATAGAAGAAGAGGCAGGAGACATCATTTGGTCCAGTACGTACAACACGATATCGAATTTTCGCGGCCTACTTTGCACACATTAAGCTCTTAAACTTGCAGATAACGAGAAAAAGCAGGCTCACCACACAAAAGGCTTCTCATCTTCTATAATCAGAATAAAACGAGAATCGAATAAACAAAATCATGTCGGACTTAGCATCGAAATTATAAATAATTCGACTGACGCGAAAAAATAGCGTTTAAAAAAGAAAACAGCAATGCAAAATGACAATAAAACTTAGCATTATTTTGTACAGATATAAGCTTCTATTCTTTTGTTTAATACACATATATTTCACATGTGACAATATGACAATAATCGATTCAATGGAAAATATCGAAAAATATACAAAATATTATGCTCACCGATTTCGTTGTTCGTTTGAATCATAGCATTATGAATGTCGTGTTACATCATAAATACCGTGTTACATCATGGACGCTGCATTTCATTTTCTTGAATTCTGCAAATAAACGAAAACGTGAATTTTCCAGTAAATCATAGCAAAGCTCTCTATTCATTGCGAACGGTCAAACGACGCACCGTGTCAGCGCGTTCTTATCCAGGCTTCAATAATAGTTATCGTAGGACAAAGACACGTATACGTATCTAGCGATGATTAATCGTTTCGTTTATAAATCGTACTTTCGAGGACAGTTTCAGCCAACCGTCGAGTACAGTAGCGCATCGCTCCAAAACCGAAATTTTGATAATAGCGTATAAAAAGGCTACATATGTTTACGTTACGACGAATATCTAAGACGCTTTCAATAATTTTGATTCTTGAACGTACGAGATTTATTTTCAAACGATGATCTTGCAAAAATGACTTGCAAAAAATACGAGCCGATTCGAATGCAACTTCGCGACACGTTCGACAAGAAACCGGAAATACGAACTTTCGAGAACAATACTACGAAAGTCAAACGAATGAAATAGCGAACCAATCAGAATAATTGATTAAATAAAATTATTTGAATCGCACTTTTCGCACTTTTCGCACTTATCATGAAAAGGGTGTAACAAATATGATCTAACCTTAAAAAAGGGTTAGAAAAGATAAGCACAAAATGTGCAGCTAAAACAAAGAGACCAATTATTTAATATGCTATTCCTTACAATGCTTGTGATACCTTTCTGTCAAACCGCAATTGATTGTAAAACATAAAAGATTGAATGAGATATCCATAATCGACGTAACGTTTGAGAAAACTACACCTACCACACAGTGAACCGCGTCTGTATTTTGGCATCCCTGCGTATTACCAACATAGAAACACGACTGAACTGCAATCGGTAATGGCGGGAAATGCCAGCCAATAATGATTATGTGATGGAAATAATAATGTCACATGATGAATACAAATTGAGCCAAATTAAGAATTAAAAAAACACATTTTTTTATAAAATATGAAATAAGTTAAAAACATGAATAAAGTTATATGCGTATTGTATGAGATACTTTCTAAATTTATATTAAATTTATACATCAGCATCAACTGTGAATAATAACAACCACTGATAATTTTGATTGCGCCAAAAAATTAAGTACACAATTACTACAATTTTAATTTAAATTATAATTTGAAGATAGTAATATAATGAATATGCATTTCCAAAGTCATTGTAAAGTTATAATATTCTACACTATTTCGTACTTTCCTTTTCGATATAATAAATTATTTGCTCACCTTTGTCGCGCCTTCTGCATTCAATTTTTTTCGTATTTTTTTTCTCCAAAGTTGAAATATGTACTAAATTTATATTAAATATAGGATAATTGCAAACAAGCAGTTCTCAGGTCACGCGTTGCGTTTGTTTCTTTTTGAGACCAAACCCTGTGAAAAGCGCAAATAGCCGTAACTAACAATGCATATTGTTGTTGCATTGTTATATATAATGTTATTATAATACCTATGTGTTGCTGTTTTTAACTTTTCCTCGGATTTTTCGTATTCAACGTCTCTTAAATTCACGTTTCAACACGCTCGATATCGAACGCTTACCAACAGGTAATGCTTACCAACCTAACCAACAGGGGGTGACGAGCAGCGCTTGTTTGCTTGGCGCCAACGAAAATTAAAAATCTATACGTAACGCCGGCTGTAGGAGTGACGTCACGACGTTCACTGAGACAACATCCCCTGGGAGGATGGCGGCTCACCCTCGTACAAGCCGGACAGCGCACGGAAATATTTCGAACGTCGTCGTGTCATAGAAGAGGCGAGAAGGAGACACGGCAAATCGACGTGAACAGAACGTTGTGTGAAGGTTGCCGTGAACACGGCGTTGCGCTTCAACGAGACGACGCCCGTGTTGCAGGACGGAGACGGCGACGGCGGCGGTGACCACCACCAGGGTGCAACAAGCGTCCGCGGATCTCACGCCGGGTAAACATGAGTGAGCTAAACTCGCGATTAGCTGCTAGGCTCGTCCTGTGCATCGTGAATCGCGCAGAGTTCGCTGGAACGGGTGAGTGAAGCTCTTTTCATGAGGTTAGTTTCGTTCTGGAAAATGTCTGGCAGCTAAATTTGTTGAGCTCGATTTTCGATGATGTGAGTACAGAAAAATAAAAATTTAAAGTGGTAAACAGAAGCTTATGGACATATTTGACGTTCGACTTAATTTTGCCACTCGTCTTTTTTTCTAGGATCTTAATTATGACGCAAACGTGATGAAGATACATTTATTTAATTATAACCGTTGATGTGTGCAGCCTTTAATTTCTATTCTCGCAACTCAATGATATTAATATTGGAGATTTTAAAGATTCTCTTATGTCTCTCAAAGCACTCCCTTAACGATTGATCTTGATGACGGTGATACATGCGCCGCGTTGACGATAGTGATTCGAGGAATGTATGTCACGCACCTAACTTTCATCCCTACGACGCAATAACTCGGAGTATGTACGTACGTACATATATGTGGCTCGGCAAGTTTAGACATTTTCAATGATATACAGAGGGAATAAATGGCTCAAAAGATTGTATTGCAATTCAGTATATTGCAAAGATTTTTTTTTGCAAAATATTGGAAACGACATATGTTTGATATTGTGCGTGAACTGTACTTCTCCAATTAAATTTGGAAAATGTATTGCACGAAAAATTTTTATTCAATTTTTTGTAATTATAAATATTGCAGAATTTTTTATGTCACATATCTTCTTATATAATGTGTCGAGCTTTAATTTTAAAGTATTCTTATATCAATACAAAGATAACATCGATAAATGTAACAGCGTGTAACTTAATACGTGCCATTTTTCAAAACTTTGAAATATGCCCTCAATCGTTGAAGGATGAGTGCTCTGTGAAGCGAATGTCGTATAATAAGGGGCGTACCCTCTTCGTTTGTCGTCTTCGCCTCGTGTTAATTACGCTCCTATTAACACCGTTCGAATATAGCTACAACTTCTTGAAAGAGGAAAATATTGCTGTCTACTTTTTAAATATACGATAATTTATTTCACACCGAGTTATTGCAAAATTTATTTTTCTAACAAGCATTGAAAATTGTGCTCAACGAAATTTATATTGTTATTCATATCACAATACGGTTAATTTTTTTATATCTCTTATGATTACATTTACCACAGATGCTGCTTGCATGCGATGTTACTCGCGCTTTATATATAGTGATGGTGTGTTAGCCATGTCCTTTTAATTATTTGGAAAAAATAATTTACGAAGGCAAATTACTTCAATTATTTCACGTACTTCTGTAAAAGAACAATTCTATCATGCATTGATTGGACCAAAACTCCCATCAAGTTATTATAGTATTCAGAATCAAATGCAAACTATATTCCCTAATTCTTAAAAAATTCCACATATGTTTAAAAATGTTTCTTTAAAATAAAAAAAAATATATAATAGACTTATATTATTTGAAAACAGATCTTAGCATTTTTATGCCTTTATGTTATAATTCAATTTATATTATTTGATTATTTCAATCTTAATCAAAATTAACAACAATATAATATCTAAAGCAGTATACAATGAATATTTTACTATTCTTAAATGATGTATGCTTCAATGTCGTGAGGCTATCACTTAAACCAAACGCGTGATGTGTCCATTTCCATAATGTCGTCTGTACGCTTGTCGTTCATTAATTGCTCATTATCATTGCCAAGATGTACGTCGGAAAGCAAAGGACATGGCACACCTGTAGATACGAAATGCCGGACTAGCGTGCGCACGAGAGAGCGAGTTGCCGACCAGTAGAGGCAGAGCAAGCAAGAAGCGCAGAGCAGAGTAGTGAAGAAAGGGTAGAAAGCAAGTACGTAGAGAACGAGCGAGCAAGCAAGCAAGAGAAAGAACGATTTAGCAAAGCATCCCCGTCGCTCGAACTCGCGGAGAGAATGAGTCACGCTCAACAGCATGTGCTTGCGAGCGCGATAGTACTCGCGCTGTTAGTGGTATTCGGCATCCACGTCTTCCTGTTTCCCATGTACACGTCGACCCCGCCGGCGCGCCACACGAAGATCTCCGTGTACGAGCAGGCACTCTGTCGCACGACCCTGAAGAACAACATCCGAATACCGGCGCCGGAGTGGCGCAACAGCCCTTGTCCCAAATACGGAATAGTTTCGGCAGTACAAGGTGGCAGACTGGGCAATCAGATCTGGGAGTATGCGTCCGTATGGGCAACAGCGCGGAGAACCGGCCTGGAGCCGTACATGCCGCGCTGCATCCTCAAAACTCTGGAGGAACATTTCGAGAACCTAAGCATCCCGCCGCTTAGCTACATCGGCAAGTGCACGCTGGACGTCAGCCAGATAGTTAATTCGCTTGGCCAATGGAACAGCACGGAACAGAATATCATTATACCAAGGTATAATTTAATTAATAAGATTAATTAGATTCTGAGAAAAATATATTTTTAAAAAGCTAGATAAATTTAAAATTAAAATTAGAATAAGTATGGTTGTATATGTTATACATAT